GAAGCAAGAGTGTTCTGTGAGTAAGACTACTGCCCCTTGGTGGATCACTGTGTGCGTAGCAGATTGTTCGTCTACCCCGTTTTACTTGCGCTGAGCCTTAGACTGTCAACCTACTTAATTTCAAGTAGACTCAAGTCTGCTTCGCATAAGCACTGTAAAGATGATAAGTATAGCTTTCTTGTGAGGGTTGCTATTGCATAAATTGTCTCTTAAACTATGTCTTCCCCACGATTGTAATTCAATGGCCTGAGGATTTCTAGAGTTGAACTCAATCAGTATTGGTCTGTAAAAAATCATTTAGCCTGCATTGATGTGCATATTTGCAAAATAATTTTAATAGTGGCTTAGCAAGAGCCCTCAGCGAAGTGCAAATGAGGAGACTTTATTTCTCCTTCAGACACGCATTTATTGCCTCTTCTTATTTCTATTCAAATGAGCTTGGCCACTTCTGCAAGAGATCTGCGAAATATTCCTCTCTAGTATGCAAACATTAGAGTAATTTTTACGTCAAATGTATGGTCACTTTATTATCCTGAAGGAAGCCTAACTATTCCCTCAATCATTCTTTGAGATAGAGTCGTTTTCGCAACTTAACTGAGTTTTCCAAGGGACTTCTTTGCTGCATTCCTATTCAAAGGGCAAAGAAAGAGTATGGACTTGACTTGCCACTATGGCGAGATGCAGCTCAGTGACAAGAATAGCGCTTTTCATTGACAATTTGAAGTGCGATACTAGCGAAACTTCTGGGAATGTACCCAGTCAACACTTCTATGTTGAATGTGCACTTGACCACATTGTGAGAGAACGGAATTCGAAGTGCATTTTCGAAGTCTTTCTGAAACCATGACTAAGTCGAAAAGAAGAGGTACGGCCAACATTTTACATTGAATGGAGACTGCTATTAACAAAAGACTAGTCTGCCTTGTTCTTTATATTTAATATTCTTTGGGACAGTTTTCATGCATCTTTGACGCGTGATTGTCTTTTTGCTCAATCTTCACGCTTGCATTAATGAACAGTCTTGCATGGAATCGCAAGACTGTGATCACTCTTGGCTGCTGTTGCACTTGCATTACTAACCCTATTCGATCTATGTATAGGATCGTTTGCTTTCACTATCGGAAGAGGATCAACTATCGGAAGCTTTATTTGATTTTGAAATGGTGAAAGGCATTTCCTGAGCCCAAAAGTTTATGCCGATAAAATAAGGATGTAGTAAATTCATCCGCTCGTACACACGGCAAACTTGGTCCTTTTTATCATCATTAACACAATATAAATTTGAATATCAACTAATTTGATAAATATACTAATTGAAATCGACTCTACAAAATTGTGAAGCCTAACTCAGAGTACTCAGGCTCCATTTATGCTCTCTCTAAGTGATCAAATGCCTAATAGAACCTATACAAAGCTTCCTCCAATGCTGATTATTTATGTATGCTTGGAGAGGGTCCATACACTACCATGTGTGCTCGCTAGCGTGTAAAGCACTCTCCTGAGTTCTCTGTCGAATTTACTTATTTTCGGCTTCACTCACGGAAGTGACTATGGCAATGGTGGCCAAAGATATTATTTAATTTTATACCCTCACAAGATGCTACTTATCCTATTTTTACAGCTAATCTCATTGATTTTGAACTGTTTCATCAACCAAGCTGTATGTCCTTGTTTTACTCATTTTTAACTGATTTTTTCTTATCCTGCTAGACAAATCTTCTAACTTCTGAACAATGCAACGCCCGTGGAAGTCTCACGAATTCTCTGCTCCCTTATGCACATCACCCGACTCACATGTCAAACGGCGGCTCGGTAGTTATTGTCACCCCGACGACTAGTAGTTGCAGTAGCCTCGCTCTGACAAATACTCCCAGCAACTTTGAGCTCAACACTTCCACTTGTTCTGTGAGCGAAAGAAGTTATTCTCATTCATCTGGAGGTGTTGAAGGCAACGAGGAGGGCAGTCGTGGTACACTTGGTGAAATTGTCATCCAAATGGTGCCCACAGATGCCGCTGCAGTGAAGGGAAGTCAGAACGATCAACACCATTCAGAATCTATTCTCGGCTTGATCTTGCATGCTGTAGACGTGGAAAACACTGTTGAGGTCGGAAACAGACGCATCACCAGTATGAGAGGAGTAGAGCTACAACCTCGAACTGAAAACTCTTCGGAGATT